GGGGGGGGGGGGGGGGGGGGAAGCAGCAGCAATATCATTGGACTGGTAATAAAGAGACTCAGATTGATGTTATGGGGAGATGGGTTTAAATCCTACCAAGGCAACTGAAATTTTAATTCAATAAATTGGAATTGAAAACTAGCCCAAATGGTGCCCATGTAACCATTGTTCATTGTTGTTAAAACCTATATGGTTCACTCATGTCCTTTATGGAAGGAAATCTGCCATCCTTACCTGGTCTGGCCTAAATATGGCACCAGACCCACAATACTGTGATTGACTCTTAAATACCATCTGAAATGGCTGAGAAAACCAATCAATTCAAGCAACTAGGTATAGGCAACAAATGTTGGTTTTGCCAGCAACATTAACAAAGGACCTTTTGGGCTGATGTGCACATGCAAGATGCCTGTGATAACCTGTGACCCAGAAGCAGTGAAAATAAGGAAAACATTTATCATGTAAAAAAAATGCATGCAGAATTTGTATACTTGCAAGAATGTTAATGTAAAGAACTTTAAAAGTGTGCATCAATTGTAAAGAAGTCAACTATTATTTTCTTGGAAATTAAGAACTACTGGTTCATGTGGCCTGGCAAATCTTGATCTAGAAGCAGGACCAATACGACAGAAGTTAAAACAGAAGTTATGCAGCCAGACACAAAGGGGAGCTGCAAACAAGGGACAGCTGGAATAGAAAGGACACAGAGGACTGACAATGTGTAAAACAGAAAAGAGAGCTGCAGAAGTCAAATTGTGACAGAAAGAGGAACACAGATCTCGTGTGAGGTATATCCAGTAAAGATCTCTTTTGAAAGACTGGTTTTCCATTTTGCATTAAAGGAGAACAGAATTTTAGAAGCTTTTGGGGAAGCAGTTTGAGGAAGCTAACAAGAATTGAAAAAATAAAAATTGGTGTGAATGGTTCAGATACGTGAAAACAGCTGAGAGTTTGTATTTGAGGTCTATTAACATAATTATGTTGGTTGGTCATTATAGTAGAACTTGAGAAAGCTATGCCTTCAAGACTAACATGCTTTGAGTGAAAGGGCACTCATGGATGTACTTCTGGCCAGTGTTAACAGTGGCCGGAGATGTCGGATGGAATGTGGATGTATCGAGGGCCTAATCAACTGGGTTGAAGGGCAACAAGAGTACACATAATGCTGTTTATGCAGGGAATAATTCTGTTCCTTGGTGTTGCATTGTATCAATTCTTTGTTGTATCGATTATTTAAAAAAATTGAAATTTATCTCTTCATTTGAATCAAGTATTATTTGTCTGTTAACTTATTAACATTAGTCAGGAACAGCACAAACATAAAGTAAAAGTTACAAAGAAAGTATAGGAGTTGGGATGTAATGTTGTGGCTGTACAGGACATTAGCGAGGCCACTTTTAAAATTCTGCTTACAATTCTGGTCACCTTCTATAGGAAAAATATTGTTAAACTTGAAAGGGTTCAAAATAGATTTACAAGGATGTTGCCAGGACTGGACAGTTTGAGCTGTAGGTAGAGACTGAATAGGATGAGACTTTCTTCCCTGGAACAGAGCTTGAGGGGTGACCTTATAGAGGTTTATAAAATCATGAGGGGCATGGATACGATGAATAGCCATGGTCCATTTCCTAGGGTTTGGTGGGGGGCGGGGCAAATCTGGACGGCATAGATTTAAGGTGAGAGGGGAAATATTTAAAAAGGGACCCAAGGGCAGTTTTTCCATGCCTAGTGTGGTGTGTACAGAATGTGCTGCCAGAAGTGATGGAGGAGGCGGGTACAGTTACAACATTTAAAAAGGCATGTGGATAGGTATATGAATAGGAAGAATTTAAGAGGGATATGGACCAAATGCTGACAAGTGGGACTAGGTCATATTGGGGTGTCTGATTGACATGGAAGGTTAAGCACTTTGGCCGCAAAAAGAAAAATAGGAAGACAGATTATCAGAATGACAATAAATTAGGAGAGGGGTTGCAACAAGACCTTGGTATCCTTGTATACCAGTCACTGAAAGTAAGTATGCAAGTGCAGCAGGCAGGGAAGATGACGAATGGTATGTTGATGTTCAAAGAGAGAGACAGCAAGAGCAACTGCAATTGTACAGGGCCTTGGTGAGATCTGGAGCACCGTGTGCAGTTTTGGTATCCTTATTGGAGGATGGATGTTCTGGCTGTGAAGGGAGTACAACAAGGTTTGCCAAACTGTAATGACAGTACTGACATATGAAGAAAAACTAGATCAGTTAGGACTATCGTTACTGGAGTTTAGAAGGATGAAAGCGGAGGGAAGAATTCATAGAAACCTATAAAATTGTAACAGAACCATGCAAAGTACTGGCTCTACCTGGTTGAAGGTGACATAAAAATGGCTACCCGTGAGTTTTAGTTGACACAAGATGGTGGAGAAGATTTTTAGCTGAAGCAGTAGCTTATTTAGTGTAGTATTAAAGCCATAAGTTGGGACAAATGTAGCTTTGTAGACAGTATTTCCAAGGTAACATGAATAAGATAGCATTCAAAGGGTCTTACTAATTACACAAAGGGTCCTGTTGCAAACATACAGAGACAGCTGGATAAGGGCACCCTTGAGTATGCTGACAGAACAATTCCATATTTTGCTGATTTAAAGTCTGAGATCCATCACAAATAGAATTACTTCAGTTAAGATTCCCAGATAATCAGTTATAGATTTTGAAAAATACACTAAATATTAAAGAGATCCCAGTAAATTCCTAGGACAGCCTTAGAGAATAAAGAAAGGTCTCCACACTGCTTACAGGGAGAACTGAATTACAGAAGCAGAAATCAGATATTGCAATGTGGACTGAATAAGATGCATTGTGAAAGCCCAAGGACAAAGATAGCAATATCTAATAAACACAAATCGTAGGAATACCTGGGGTTGTCCATGAAGCTGTCGACTGCTGACCATGCAGTCACATGATTAACCTGATTGGATTTATGTGATCAATTAGCAATATTATTAGTTAGTAATGGTCCAAGGTGAGCTGAAGACAAATGTATAAAAGTTTATCTTTCCTTTGTTGAGTGAAGAAGCTTCAATAAACTCTTTGATGCTGGAAGTGGACTCCCAGGTGTCAAGTGATTTATATAAATATTCTGCCCCAACACAAATTAAACACAGGAAGGATTTTCTCAATAATGAGGGAATCCAGAACTAGGGGTCACAGTCTTAGAAAAATGCAATAGATATTGAAGACAGAGAAGAGGAGAAATTTCTCTAGAGTGGTGAGTCTCTGATTGAGGTCAAAGCATTGAATGTCTTCAAGAAATAGTCAGATATATTCCTTAGGGCTAAAGGGATCAAAAGGCTATTGGGAGAAAGTAGGAACAGGGTACTGTGTTGGGTGAACAGCTGTGATCAGATTGAATGGCAGAGTAGGCTTGTAGCACCAAATGGCTTCCTCCTACTCCTACACTTTTTTTTAAAAACATTTCTAGGGTTTTAGACTTACTATGCTTATACCACAGATACACGATGCAAACAGAAAACAATGATCCAAAGAAGTCCCAGTAAAGGAATAAAAGCACAAAATCAAGCTATTGACTTTAAAAATCAAAGCAGCGCTTGGCTGCTTAATACCAATGGCTGGCTAACAGGCAGCAACGCACTCAAGTCTAAGCACTTTAAAAATCTTACCTCATGGGAAAAACAACGCATGCTTGCTTGTATCCCCACAACATTTTAGAGAAATCACAGAAACCAATGCAAGGTTGTGAAAGCAATTCAGTAACTAAATGTATTTCCACATTTATTTACTTTTGCAACATTGAAAAAACCATATAATATTTCTCAGTAATGCTTAGCCAATTTACTACAAGCACTGATGTTGCAACAATGTGAACTACATACAAGTATACCTTTACAACCATTGTGGGTTACTTCAGTCTGGTCCAGCCATTTAACTAATTTTACATTGCCTTCCCACCCAGCATCGGGGTCTGCTCCTGGCGCATCTGTTGAAAGGAAAGTATGACTTAGTTAACTCAAAGCAAACAGATTTGAAAAATATACTAAAGTAGAAAAAAACAAAATCATATTCGGTCACATCTAGGTAGATGGGAAAAGTATCACTACATTTCCAGCCCAAAGGTTAGTCCACAACTAAAAACAAGCCATATGTAACACTGGACTATCAGAGGTTGAATCTTGCGCATGTTCTGACAACAGAGATATGCAATTTGCTCGGCACTGCTATTTTTTCTATTTACATAATTGACTATAAATTGGCAACATTAAAGGGAAGTGATAATTCAGTGTCACTCCAGAGTTCTCGACACAGTTTTGAGGTTTGACACTTGTGCATGTGTTCTAATTAAGAGCTGTGTTTGCTAACACTAAGCACAGAGTGTGCACTCACATCACCTGCAGAGTCTGAGTTTATGCTGACACTGTTGGTAATATCCCAGGCAGCTTCCAAACATTCGCTGAACTAAAGAGGAAAAAAAAATGTCTTTGCAACTTCTCTCTACTACCTCTCTTGCTCCCTTCTGCCATTCCCACACTTCACCTCCCGTCCCTGCCCTCTTCCAATCCCACCCACTGGACTTGTGCAGAATGAGTACGAGCAAACAATAATGTAGGCATGTTTAAGAGGAAGCCAGCACTTGGTACATTTGTGCAGTCTTCACTCATGCAGAACATACTTCAGTGTTGACAGTGATCAAGGCAACTCCAAAATTTGGTTGTTCTTATGGCAACATTTATTTACAATTCATAATGACAAACCCAATGGCTTTTTGTATGGTTCATTTTGACCATTAGACAGTAATAACAAGGGTTTTTTTTTGTTTTTGCTTAGTAGCACAGAACTAAAATACGAACATCTTGTCCCCTTTAAGCAAAGTATTCAGTCATCAGGATTAGGACAAAAAGACTTGAAAAGAAGAAAAATCAATTTATGAGAAAAGGGGTCTGATTAGTTGAGCTATCAGCAATGGAGATGCAACAGGAAGAATAAACTGTCAATCTTAATTTTAATAGAATCCCCACAGCATGGAAACAGGCCATTTAGCCCAACAAGTCCACACCAACCCTGTGAAGAACATCCTACCCAGACCCATCCCCCTACTCTATCCCTGTAACCCTGCATTTTCCATAGCTAATGGACCTAACCTAAACATCCCTGGACACTATGCGCAATTTAGCATGGCCAATCCAGCTAACTTGTGCATCTTTGGACTGTGGGAGAAAACCGGAGCACCCAGAGGAAACCCATGCAGGCACAGGGAGAATGTGCAAACTCCACACAGACAAGGCTGGGATTGAACCTGGGTCTCTGGCGCTGGGAGGCAGCAGTGCTAACAACTGAGGCACCTTGCCACTTAGTTCTCAGACCAGAATGGTAGACTGATTGGTTAGCTTGATTCCATGAGAGTTCATTGTCCCTTTTTTCACTCCTTATGAAATAAGGTGCAATGGATACAAATTCATTTATCTACAAATGATGCTCATCTGTTAATAGATAGATATGCAATATCTAGTTTATGCAATGCATTTCACTGCAAGTCTGACTGGTGACCTTAAATTGGTTTCTATTGTAATTCTTAGCATAGTCCAGGTTATTTGTGCAGTAGCAGAAGCACATCGAATGTTGGACATAATATTTTGAGATTTGTAAGCAGGGGCTATTGAGCACAATCAGCATGCTGTCCACTGTGAATAGCTGATGGGTCATGGAGTTTGATACTGTCTGCCAATCACTGGGACATACTACCTAAATACAGGACAATGGCATTAAAACATGCAAATAACTAATTTGTGTAGTCGGCAAAACATCTTGAATAATGGCACCACTAGATTTTTTTTGGCTTATCCCTTATGTAGTCTGGCCTGCACATGATCTAGTCCCATGTGACATCATTGACTAACAGTGCTCATGGAAGGTAGGATTGGACAGCAACCACTGCCTCAACAATGTCATTCTCAAATAGTTATGACTATTGAATCTTGTTGGCCTTCTGACTGTCAAGTCTCATCCCTGCCAAGTCCTCCCCAATATAGGTCATTATTATTGTCCCCTCACACAATTTGTCAAGAAAAACGAATTCTACTTTACACAAATTGGTTATTAACATAATTCTGAGCACACACGGGATTGCTCGGTAAACACTGCCAAATCGCGGAATTACATTAACACCAAATGCTATGTTCCGAGTTCTGCAAATATGAGCTGACTTCCACAAACAGCCAAAAATGAACATGCTGGTTGAGATGACCAGCAGTCGTTGAGATGCAAAGCTTACATACCTGCTGTCACACCAGCCCTGAAATCAATTTCAAATCCTAGTTATGCATGTTGTCAAAGTGAATTCAACAAATCTGGCAACGTAGGGGCTTGCACTGGAAAATGACTGTGATAGCTGCTCAGATCATCACGAATGAAATCAGTTCGGTTTTAATGTCTTCACAAGAGCTACCACCCCTACCTGCTCTGGCCTTTTATAACTCAATCACACAATACTTGCACAATACCTTTAGTGTTTGCTGTACAACCTGCCTTGCCAGTGTTGTCCACATGCTAATGTTAGTTTTATTAAAAATATTAAAACATGAAAGCTGCCTCAATCCTATAAGGTGAATTATCACATTTGTAAGGTCCTCAAAATAAATCCAAGTGATTATTTCTAGGGTACTGCTGCCTCCACGGAAAGTCAATGAAACTGCCGTATACACACAATTGCGTAAGGCACCAATATATTCCTCTATCAGTCCAGATCTCCACAAATACTGTGACATACTGGGCAGTCATTTTACAAAATACATGTGCAAGGATGTATTTCTGCAAAAATTTAAATGCAGGTGTAAATTTAACAAAACTTCAAGAAAATAAAACTCTTGAATCTACAGTCTAGTATCTACATATGGTTACATTGATAATTAAATTGACAATTTTGGTGGTTGAATCCTTAAGATCATAAATACATACAGGTAAAGCTGATCATTGCAATATGTATTCATTTATAATGATCAAGCTGCAGGCCAAAGGTTACCTTTCCTCAGTTTTTGGATTTATGTGATTGGTACAATAAGTAGTCTTCCATAGTATTGCTCTCAGCATGTATAAAGATATGCTGCCTTATAAAAGTGCATACAGTTTAATGCAAGCTATTATTCTGCTAGGGTTGCTATAAAACAGTAAGTCCAATCATTCCTTTGTTTTAAAAAACGCTCCGGTTAAAGTTTACTGGCTAATTTATAGGGAATTTCAAAACTTGTAAAGCGTTTGATTAGCTTTGCCTCAGTCAGAAGCAGCCAGCTCGCAACAATTGGAGATAGAGAGAAATCAGGAAATTATAGACTGGTGAGCCTATCATCGGGAGTGGGGAAAATTCTCGAAGCCATTGTTAAAGATTTTATAGCAGAGCATTTAAAAAACAGTGGCAGGATCAGACAGGGCCAGCATGGATTTATGAAGGGGAAATCATGTTTGACAAATCTGTTGGAATTCTATGAAGATGTACCTAGTAGAGTTGACAAGGAGGACCTAGTTGATGTAGTATGTTTGGACTTTCAAAAAGCATTTGACATAGTCCCACATAAGAGATTAACGTTCATGATTAAAGCGCATGGGATTGGGGGAAGTGTATTGAGATGGATGGGAAATTGGTTGGCAGAGAGGGAACAAAGAGTAGGAATTAATGATTCCTTTTCAAATTGGCAGGCAGTAACTAATCGGGTGCCACAAGGATTGGTACTGGGACCCCAGCTATTCACAATATGTATTAATGATTTGGATGAGGGAACAAAATGTAACATTTCCAAGTTTGCAGATGATACCAAGTTGGGTAAGAGGTGAACTGTGACAAGGATGCAGAGATCCTTCAGCATGATCTTGACAGTATGGGTGAGTGGGCAAATCAATGGCAGATGCAGCATAACTTGGATAAATGTAACGTTATTCATTTTGGAAGCAAAAACAGGAAGGCAGATTACTACCTGAATGGCTATAAATTGGGAGAGGGGAGTGTGCATCTTGTGCACCAGTGGCTGAAGGTAAGCATGCAGGTGCAGCAGGCAGTAAAGAAGGCAAATGGTATGTTGGTCTTCATTGTGAGAGGTTGAATACAGGAGCAGGGATATGTTGTTGCAGTTGTACAGGATCCTGCTGAGACGACATCTGGAATAAAGTGTACAGTTTTGGTATCCTTTTCTGAGGAAGGACACTCTTGCTGTCAAGGGAATGCAGTGAAGGTTTACCAGGCCGATTCTGGGGTCTGACATTTGAGGAGAGATTGACTACGTTGAAATTGTTGTTGCTAAAGTCCAGACAAATGGTGGGGGGTGTGGGGGGTGGGGTTTGGAATCTCTTACAGACTTATAAAATTCTAACAGGACTGGACAGGGTAGTGCAGGAAGGATGTTCCCAATGGTGGGTGTGTCCAGAACCAGGGGTCACAGTATGGGGATTCAGGGTAGATGATTTAGGACAGAAATGAGGAGACATTTCTTCACCCAAAGAGTGGTGAGCCTATGGAATTCAGTTGATGCCAAAACACAATGTATTCAACAGGCGACTAGATATAGCACTTGGGGTAAGTGGGATCAAAAGTTATGGAGAGAAAGCAAGATTAGGCTACTGAGTTGGACGATCAGCCTTGATCGTGAAGAATGGTGGAGCAGGCTCGAAGGGTCGAATGGCCTCCTCCAGCTCCTATCTTCTACGTTTCTTTGAAGAATGTTTGGGATGTTCGGTCTGGTCTCACACCTCAGACTTGCAAAATGCAAGTCAGGCCCTTTTACAACTTCAGTACTGCACACCAGATTCATGTCTGACTTTGCTCAGGACCTTCATTTCTTTCATACTAGGGCAATCTGCAGTTCGAGAGTTAAGATGCAAGGAGTGCACACGCTGAGGCAGGCAGCTTAGAAGACCGACCTTGGTTCTTGGGGTCAATAGAATTGCCATTGTCCTACCAGATCAAAGAGATGAGCGCGAGAGAGCGAGAGAGCGCGA